AATCTGATCTCTTAGTTTGCTTTCAGTCGATGCACGATACCGCATCAGATTTTTAAGGAATTTATCCTTAAGTAAAGCGATTTTTAATTTTTTGAGCGAAAACCATGCGTCGGACAAAGAAAACCCAGCAAATCAAATGTGCTCAAAAATGTATGGAGATTTTAAAAATAATTTTTAATTCAAGATAAAGCAGTGGCGTAGTATTTTTTCGCCAAAAATATACATTTCAAAACTCGTATGTACGCCACTGGCAGAGAAAATTAAGAAAATTGTACATCAGAAAATGCGCCTTAAGGCATGGAACATATGTATCAAATATACCAAAGATGTCTACAAAATTATCTCAGTTATTATTAAAAAACTGATTATGTTTGAAAACTTTGCCACCCTGTATCTCAAAAGTTAAGGCGTTTAGGACATACCTCCTTAAATATTAGCATGTGTTTAAGAAACACCCTGTATACTGATAAACTCAGAATAATTCAATGTATATTTCAAGTGAATTTTTCTCACTATCTTTGAGGCACGTTTTTCTAAATAACTCTAGTGAGAAAATCACCAGAAGCTCCCTGCTCATTTTTAAAGAAGAATTATAGCTGAAGTTTGAATAATGAAACAACCCAAGTTATCCAGTGAATGATTGAGTAGGAAATAATGAACGAAATATTATATTTTAAGTATTGTCAATATTTTATTTTATGAAACTTGATTCCGAGTTCAATTACCATACCTAAAAAATGTTATCACTTAAGGAAAAAATAGAAATTGTTTCATTATGTGATGGAAAGACAGAATACCGACAAGCTTTCCTTCAGGTTGTCGTTTCGATGGCATATGTTTTGTAACTCTATATCTCAACGAATATTAATTATGTGTCGCAGTGATCAATAGACAATTTTGTACTCTATACAATGCTGCTGAATTTTTTGCTTCTTTGCAGCTTATTACTATAGGATCTCGTTCAGCTATTTTCCTCCGATATTTCTCTATTCAAATTGAACCAAAGCGCTGCCAAAACAGTCAGAAAAATAATTGTGATTGAATGCACAGTTTGACATTTATTTGCGAAATTACGTTCACTCGGAAATGAGCCCCGAAGTGGTCAGTATACAATAATTCAGGACGAGGATTTGAGGACCCTGCTGGAGACTGACCCATCACTAATGGTGCGTGGGATGGCGGAAGACCTAGAGGCGTCAGCTCCCATGAAATTTTTGGCGGTTTGAAATGTATTGGAATGGTCAAATATCTCGTAAGGTAGGTGCTCCACGATTAGAACGATCGACGAAAATATCACGATTCAAAAACTATTCTTCTTTGCTTCTGCGCGACCAAAATGATCCCTTTTGGGATCAGATCGTTACGGATCAGATCGTCACGAGTGATGAAAAGTGTATCTTTCACGACAACAGGAGACATTCAGGACAATACTTGGAGACTGAGGAGCTACTCGGGCACTCCACATAAGCGAAAATCCAGCAAAGAAAGACCATGGTTACTATATGGCAGTCAGCAGCTGTTGTGATTCTCTAATAAATTTCTGCAACCGGGCCAAACCACACAAAGTTCCATTGTGGAAAATTGACCAAATGTACCAAAAATTGCGTTAGCAGCACCCGGCACCGGTCAAAAAAAAGATCCGATCATGCTGCGCGAAAACGTCCGTCCGCACGTTTCACAAGTCACCGCCGGTGGAACCGTCGCCAATCAGGACCAGGCAAAAACGGTCTTCTTCGACTTCATCGAATCCCAAATACACTATTTTCATGCTGACTGAATTGTTTGACTTGTGTTACGTGAGTGAATGTGCACTGATTTAAATGACGCTTATTTCGATTGATTTTATTTTTGTTTTATACCAAATAAAGTGGTATAATATAAAAATAACAATAAGAATTAATTGGCGCTCCGGGGCAACTTCATTAACTCCAGTGGTGCATTTGCTTTTTTAGCTCCAGGAAACCCGGAAAAACCTGCAGCACCATATCATCTGTAGATCTTGATCTGCCAATGTCTTCTCTCTCATAAAATG